CAGGGTATCTGACAGTAGCTGCCCCCAAACAATAACCTTAAAACGACTCTAAATGTTTCCCATTTATCTGAGTATAACGTCACTGCTGGGACTGTCTTACAGGCGCTGGACGTTTGGGCCATGGGGGTGACCCTCTACTGCTTCGTCTTTGGAAAGGTAAATGTGCCGTCTGCCCCACAAGTGTGAGTTTAAAAGCATAGAAGAACGTGGGAGCGTGTTTGTGTTTGAAACAGCAGCTTTCTTGTGCTGCCGTTAAATGTAATGAAGCCAAGCGGCCGATTGCTGCTGTTGTTCGTCTCGGTCGTCTGTAGGTCGTCTGATATTTGCAGCCGTCATCGTGCACGTGTGTTCTTGTGGTTTTCACCTCCTTTCTTCTGCTCTTCCTGCAGTGTCCCTTCATCGACGAGTACATACTGGCTTTGCATAATAAGATACGGACCAAGCCTGTAGAATTCCCAGAAACGTAAGTTTATTAACAGTCATCATCTTCACTTTAGTTCTCCTTCGTCTGCAGCGCGGTCACGAAACCGTCTTCTGTTCTTTTTTCCCCAAATAGCTCGATGAACGTCACCAACATGTGAATCAAAACGCCTTCAGCAGCTACATGAATACAACCTGCTGCACAGCTGTTTTTCTTTGTGACTAAAAGCTCAAAGAAAAGCTGGCAGGCCTGCTGACTGTAGGGGAATATCATAGAGAGGGAATAAAAGACAGATGTTAGGCAGTGGTGGAGGAGGAACGCTGAGAGGGGAGAAGAAGTGAAGACGGGCGGTGTGAGGAGGTGTGAGGACAGGGCTCAGTGTTGGTGTTCGTCTTCCAACAGTCGTGTTCATTAAATCCACACATCTCTGTTCTATTCCAACAGAATGTAGCAGATTATCTTTAGCTAAAGCTACTTAGCATCGTGCATACCTTCGTTTTTTAAATTTGTGTGTCATAAATGGTGGAGCACGCACGTCACGCACCACGGCCGCCATCGCACTGTTGGCTCTTCTTTAAGCGTCTGTGGCATAAAGACAATAAAATGCAATTAGCTTTTTGCTAACTGCTTCTAGCATTAATCCAAGCTGACTGTAGATTTAAACAGTTTAGCTCTTTTGGCTAGCTAGTGCATTTTATCGGCTTGTGTCAGCTTCTAGCTGCTAATTTATTTTAACTAAATGTGGTATTTTTGTGTTGTGGCTGACCAAATATAAATATAATTATGTCTGTTTGTCTGTATGACATTACTGCCGTGCAGTAAGCAAGAATCAGCCCCTCAAACAACAGCCAGAGCTGCCTGAAGTAAAAGTATTCATACAAATACAGACATTTACCATAAATTTCTTTCACTTAATA